AGGTTCCTCGGCGCCCAACGCTCCAGCCTGGCCAGGTCCTGCTGGACGGCAGCGCAGCCTCCCGGTGGATCGGCCGCTCCTCCCAGTTTGGTGTCATCAGCGAACTTGCTGATGGCAAGTTCAAGGCAACTGGAAATGGGCGCAGCAAGGAGCAGGAGATGTTCCCAACCCCAGACCAACATCACACGCTGAAAAAACTTGAGTGACGTTGCCCAAACCGATAAGCAAGATCATATTTCGAGATGTGACCCATTTTTGTTTTTTTTTTTTGTTCCTCTAAAACTCCACACTGGGGACATTTGATATTAGATCTGCCGTGTTAAGAACGGCATTAACCTCTTCTCCGATGAGCGGTTGTTACTAAAGGGTGGCCGCGCTCTTTCTTCACCGAGGCATGTCCCACCCTTTCTAACGACAAAATACGCAAGGCCTAGTTTTTAAACCAGTGCTGTATCGGTAACGGCTTGTGCCAGTGAATTTTGGGCACTGGGAAACCTAAAAATTGCCAAGCAATAGTCATGGGCAGTAGGAGCATCCAGCCACTGGCAGCAGAAACCCAGCTGAGGCCTCCAAAATACCTCTCGTTGGCATCAACCACCCACCCTGGGCTGGTAGTTATTCGTCTTCCAAGGTTTGCCATGCCAAGAAAGGAGAGTTTGGGTTTGTTCGTATTTTAATTTGTGCTTGTAACGCTCAAGGACTCATTCCAAAGAGCGGCCAGGCACGTGGAGCAGGCTGAAGAGCCGGGATTCCAGGCTCTTTCGTATTTCAATTCAAGACAGATAGCTTCTCGCATCAGGGGTGGAGCTCCCGTAGGATTCGGCTGAGCAGAACCTACCGAGAAGCTGCTTCAAGGACTTCAGGATGCTACCAGAAGCACCAGGTGCCAGTAGGTGGTTGGTGGTTGGTTTTTTCCTAATGCGCAAGCAAGTTTTTAGCCTTTGGAAGAATGGCACGTTGCAAAGTTTTTGGTGTAAATTCAGTTTTTTGGAGCCTTCCAGGGGAAACCTGGAAGCTATTTGGGACAGGCTCTACTCGTTGATGATCCCGTGTGAATAATTTGGAGCTCCATTGATGGAGGGGGACCAGCTCAGACCCAAATCCATTTGGAAAGGACCCTTTACACTCCCCCCACGGTAACGTAGCACCTATAAGCAGCCGAGGGGTGAACACAACTCCCTGGACCAGAGCTCACATCCTGCCTTCTGCGTGGCCGAGCACTGCCAGCACGGACTGGTACCAGTGACCACGCTCTTCTCCTTCCCTCCAGCCACACTCTGCCCTGGGATTTACAAAGCTTTAGGGGTTTCCCCGATGGAAACCTCGTTCCTGAACACAACGCTTTTCAAATTACAAAGCCCGAACGTCCAAAGCACAGCTTCCCAGTGGGATGCGCCCCCCTTCCATCCACCCCTCAAGACCAGCGCGCTGCCCGGCTCTTTCATCTGCCGCATTTCCATCCGCCTGCCCTAAACCAGCATCAGATTTCACAGGACGCAGAGCGTCAACGAGACTGATAAATCAACAGCAGGTTACGCCAATTAAACCCTGCCCTAGCCCCCCCCCCCCCCCACCATGCCCCCCCTCCGCCCGCGCAGG